TTCGCCCTTTGCATCACGACTGCTTTCAAGGCAACCGGATCGCATTCCGAGTTAATAACTGCTATTACAAAGGTGAGCGGTACATCTAAGGAACTCCGCTTCCAAGTAGGAACAGCGTCATTCTCACAGCCACGATGAATGTGCTGTGCTTCCTGTCTCTCACATTAAGGCCTCTGGTATTGATGCGTCTCAGGAAGCGAGTGCTAGCCTCCCTGTTGTTATGCTACACTCATTGATTAAGCTTCATTATTTAGTGGAGGATTTCATTTCCAAGCCCAGAAGGCCTGCTATGACGATAACGGTCGCTGGCCAGTGCCTGTTTCTCATGCTAATCACTTCATTTGCAACTGTTGTTTGTCATGCTAGCTCAGGCCACTGCTCATTCACTAGACCGCGAATCATGGCAACCGCTCCTTGTTAGCGTAGCTGCGGATCAAAAGCGTTTTGCGTGTGGCCTGTGTAAGCCTTCCCAGTTCCCTCCGCAGCGACCCGCCGAGGATTCAGAATTCTTGTCGAGTCATATTTGGCCACTAATGAAATCCTCAGTACTTGACGGAGGCTTTGATCCATGAGGTGCAGTAAGAGATGCGGGGGGGGAAAAAACAGAACCCGATGCACTCTCTCACCCCTTTCCCTGAATAAGCAACTGCTCACGAGTGTTTTGCTGCATTTCAGCATTATTAGTCCTTGTTTTGAAGACAATCCAACGAAATCAAATCTTACTTCAATCTGGCTAATGTAACTATATGTATCTTTGAATTATGAAGATCCATGCCGTTATTTGTGCAAAACGAACGTTGTGCTTTCTGTGACTGCTGTACTGTGATTTACCTTTCACATTGCATTACTTCAATGTTTGATCACTTGCCACATCCCACCCCTCTCGATCGTCTGCCTCCCCTTCATTCGATTTTTCCTCCGTCTATTTCTGCTGGGCACGTTCCAGTACAAGGATCCTAATGGACCCATTCTTCTGCTCTGGTGTTTCTTCATAGAAACGGATTTGAAGAATAACTTATAAATTAGCACAAGCCTCTGATCAGTTTGCAGCGTAATACAAAAAGCAGAAACAAATGATTTCCATTTAAACAATTTCAGGTTAAAGTGATTTGAAAGTGAACAAGAGAATCAGGTCTGTATTCATGGTTTGTCAGTGTCTCCCAGTAATATAAGGGATTTTCTTTCATTGTCTGTTGAGCTTAAGGCAAGAGATAGGCATAGATCGTGTCAATCATTTTTCAGATTTTGGAATAAAATTGCATCTATCTTGCATCTTGATATTGCCACTGTCCCAAGAGAAGGCCAAAATGTTCTTTACTTTTAATGTAAGTATAAGTAATATGATTTTTTTTCCAAGTCATTTTGGACCATTTCTATTTGTCCATTCATCAAGAAATTTTGACAAGGGCAGCTGCTGTGCTCAAGTGATGTATAAAAATGAAAAAAATAGATTTTATTGATAATAAAGAAAATTAAATAATGAAAATGCATGTAAATGAATAATAGAGTAACTAAAATGCATTCTGATTTGATTTGAAATTCAAGCTGATTCACCACAAAAAGCTTAGTATGCTGTTACAGATGTGCAAGTTCACATGAAGTTGAAACGTTTTCAACTTTTGCGCGACACAATTCGGCCAGGTCTCAGTGTGGCCAGTAGGAGAGCGGTTGGTGTGTCTGGTAGTTCCCTCTAACATGGACGAAAGGCTAGTTTTATCAGGGAGAGCCCAACCGTTAAGTACTACATATACCGCAAGTGATGTAAAAGCAGCTTTGGAGTTATAAATTGTTATTTGATTTGATAAAATCAGTGGTTCTTTGAATAAAAGTGTTGATTTTGTTGATGTTTTATCATTCCTCACTAAAATGGTTTTTATATGAGGGAAATAAGGAAGATGATGCAAAATAACTGGGTGTGAAAATGCGACCAACTTCTAAGACTGAACTTAGAAGTAAGTGTGGAAAAATATCCCTGCAGTTTTCTTTAAAAAACTGAAAAGAATGGAACGTATCAAAGGCAAAGTGTGGACACACTAAATGCTGAGAAATATGATATTATATTACATTTTTGAGGCTTCTGTGTAATTTTCTGCTAAATGTGTTGCTGAAAAATAATGGCCATCAACTGCAAATTAAATGAAAAAAAAGGTGACCTCTGACTTCTGCACAGTATTGGATGTGTAGATTATACCTTATTGTTGTTCATATATATATATATATATATATATATATATATATAGCCTCTAGTTAGTGGAAAGTGTGTAGGTGAGATCTCAACTGCTTTTTGTAAAGTGGGCCGTACTGACTCTCATTCAACGATAGCAACCTTTCAGCGGGGGATGGAGTGAGGTATTCCTTTATGCGGAAAAGAGCTACAACAAAGAAAAGAGAGAGACAGAGGAACTCGTCACAATGGAAAGTTTTATTAAACCGTATGGCTGGGTCACATTAACAATACCATGAGGGTGACGTCTTCTTTATTTCCCATAAGGCTCATGGAAGAAGATAGCTTCAAAGAAAAGCCCTGAGGGTCAGCTTGAGCCACATCCATACTCCATGCATATCCTGTAACTTAGCACTGCAGCATCAGACACTCTATTAGACCCAGAGGCCTAATAGGAAGCTGAATGGGGCCGACTTTTGGTTTCATGTTGTAATCCCATCTGTGCACCCACTTTGTTGGAGTGCAAAGCTGCTCTAATGATGGACCCTATATATATATATATATATATATATATTAGCTCCAGGAATCTCACCAGAAGTTTATACCTTCAAGCGGTCAGTATTATTGAAAGGAGCTACTGCAGCAATGGACGTCAATCCACCTGCGTTTTCAAAAGTTACTGGATAGTCGCTCTTCAGCGGCTAATGTATTTGTAATGGATTGGCTTTCCGAAGCATTAGCTCATTCCTTTAGGAGGTATTCATTTCTCGCGCCGCAGTCTACAACTGTGCCAAAGGTGCTGAATCCTCGGCGAGAGTGAAACCCGATCCAGGCATTTACAATCAGTGCGCCTCCATTGAAAGTGAGTAAGATAGTAACCTTCAGCTGCAGAATGGAGCTGACAGCAGCTCAAACCTGAAAGAGGTGTTTACATGCAGGCCATGTTACAAACTTCCTTTGTGGCTGCCTATTAGAAGTGGCACTCTAGCAAATGCCATAACCAGCTAAGGGACGTGAGCGCATCCGCAATGTTGTAATAGGCTTTTTGTTTGCCATTGTGGTGGATTTTCTATTGTTGTGGCCAAGAAAAAGAAAATCATTATTTAGAGAGGGAAAACCCACATATGCAGATCTCTTTCCTCTCTCTTTCTCACTCTGTGCTGTAGAGAAGCCAGTCTCTGGAGTGAGGAGTGCTGTAGGAGTGAATTGCCACCCCTCCCCCCCCTCCTCTGTCACCTTCATTCAAATGTATTTCTCAGAAGTCTTTGGACGGGGAAAGGCGAGGAGAGCTTATTCGTCAATGATCTTTTCTCTAATCCCCTGTTTCTCTCTCTCTCTCACTGCCTGAAGGCGTTCAAGTAATGCAACCCTCCCCCACCACACCCTCGAACTCAGTCGCACACTCACTCACAAGCACGGTGTCTGCTTCAACATGTCCAGTGGGAGAAGATAAATGGAGTAGGGGAGTTTGTAGTCGGGATGGTGTCGATGTCCTGGGAGGCCTGTGCTTTTGCAGGAACTCTTGCTAGGAGCTGAAGTGGTGATTATAGGGCTGGGGCAAGGTGTGGCGAGACAGGGCGGTGTCTGGGCTTTTGTCTCCAGCTAGGAGGAGTGACTAGAGCTGCTAGGAGGAGTCAAGCTCAAGCAGGAGCCACACAGAGAGCAAAGCTGGTTTAGTTTCACAGAGTGACTTATGGTGGACTTTACCATGCTGGAACACAGGGAATGGTGCTTCTCAACAGGCTTCACTCTACCTTCAATGAGATTGTTTTCCCAGGAGTTGTGACATGGATGGATTACAACTAAGGATGTTTTGTCAACTTGGATGACTCTTCAAGGCCTTGTTTTTGGAATACATGTTGTTTCCTGAGTCTCTGAAATCTTTTGGAGATACTTGCTTAATTTTCATGGATATTGGTTTGCGAAAGCCCTGAATGTGTTTCGGCTGAGCTTCCCTGCAAAGCACTGCTGTAATATGGGACATTTTGTTGCTCTACTGGACTGGAAAGACAGGCCGTGGCTCCTATTTCTAGCAGCTCTGATAAGTATGTTGCATTTGTGCTATTTGTTGTGAAAGCAGGCCCCAGCTTTGAACAGATTGCATGCGATAGCTTGCAGGGAACTAACGTAAGATGTTTTTGTTTATGGTCTTCTGCTCATTTTGTGGCCTCAAATAACACCAGGCTGCCTTTGCGCTTGTCCCCTTTTATGGCGGTTTGATATGAGGAATTTTTATCGCGCTGAAAGATTTATAAACCCATTTATGCTTTGGCTAGCTTTTCCTTCAGATACTTGTGGTTTTGTCAAAGTAGCTCACTTTCTCCCAGCCAGGATATGACCAAAGAATTGCACTTGCCGAGTAATTGATTAAGCACGTCGTCTTGGATAGTTTATCTTGGGGGCATGGGATTTAGAAATCAATGCTGTCTCTGTGTACAATATGCTATTGGACAGGCAGATGTGCAGTGTCTAACAAGTGCGTACAACCAGGGAGTATGAATCTCCATTATGCACGGCCTGTTCTGCCCCTTTGTTCAACCTAGCATATTCAGAATATGCATTTATGTCTCATTATCTGAAAGTACAGAAATTGATCTCTCTGGCTGTATTGCTTTCTCTCTCTCTCTCTCTTTGTCTCTGATTTCCAGTTAAGCCAAAGCAAGGATGTGTTCAGTGTATGAGTAACACTCAATCACTTGCTTAAGCACCAATATTTAAGAGTTGTTAACCCTATTTTCTGCTGCTGGAACAATCTCTGACTCAGTGTGATATCCTACATATGTACCTTCCATTTCAGTCTGCAGACATCTGACATTCCTTTTTCTCATCTCTGCAGTTGCAGGTAAAGTTTCCCCCACCAGCTCCGATGCCCTCCTCAGTGCCCCCGCTGCTAGCGCCACCTCCAGCCCTCCAGACATGTACCTCCCTGCCAGCTTCAAGCTTTCCAACACCCAACTGGCCTTCTTCCTCCAAGAGAGCCGAGTCCCAGCCCGGGGTGGCTCTGGAGGCCACCCGCTGCAACGCTCCGAGAGCTTTGTTGTCTTTCAGACCAAGGAGTTACCCTCGGTCAACATCTCGCTGGGTCCTTTCACGCAGGACCAAACGCTCTCCAAAGACCTTCTGCAGCCGTCAAGTCCCTTGGATATCCCAGGAAGGCTGACGGTCAACTGGAAGGTTCGGGCCTTCATTGTCCAGTCCAAAGTCTTTGCAAGCAACCCGGTGGTCCAGGTGCTGTTTTACATTGCAGGCCGGGACTGGGACGACTTCAAGGTCCAGGACAAGCTGCCTTGCGTGAGGCTGCACGCCTTCCGGGATGTTCGGGAGATCAAGACTTCTTGCAGGCTCCAGGGCAATCTGGCTCAGTGCTTGGCCCAGCTGGACCTTCCGCCCACCTGGTTCAACGTCAACGTTGCACCCTTAGGCCGCAGGAAATCCTCAGTGTCAGATGGTCTGGAGATGACCGGGGAGACCCTCCAGGTGGAGCTCTACTACACTCTCCATGATCCGGACAGCAAAGGGGAATGCGGGGAGAGTTACAGCAGGCGAGGAGGAGGGTCAAGGGGAGAGAGCTCATCCCAGCAACCCCTACTTCGGATTGGGAGCATCAGCCTGTACCAGCCGAGTCAAGAGCTGCTGGTGGTGGACAAGCAACTGGACAAGAACCTCTTCTTGCGGCTGCCTGAGAAGCCGCTGAAGCCTGGCGAGATTCTGAGCATCTTTCTGTACTTGGTGCCAAACTCGACAGTGGAACAGTTCACACTCAAGTAAGTCACTTTTCACTTTCCTTATGGCTCTAGAATGGTTTCACGCTGGGAAACTCATTAGCATACGAGTTGTGAACATATGCACACGTGATGGCAACAGTATTCACTAGTACACAAACCACAATGAGCGCCTATTGATTTCTAAGGTAATTCTTATTTCTAAGCTTGTGAGAAATGCAGTATGAAAAGCCCCCACAAACTCCATTCTTTTGAAGGTAAAAATGGATTCCACATAAAGAGTGAGAGGCGTACATTATGGAGGATGCAGATAAATCTCTGCTGGAATGTCAGGTATTAAGAGAAAACGAGGAGGATTCTGCTTTTGAAAGTATAGACATAATGGGTATTAATTGACATCTGCTGGAATTAAATTCCTCAGGAGCTGACCCAGTTCTTGTCGAATTAGAGCTTAGGGGATTCGAGGCATGACTTTGCTTGCCTACCCTGTATATTTCCCATTCGTTTTTCGTCGTCAACATAATGGGGAGGGTTAGGGTTCCTGTGAAGGAAAATTATTATTTAAATCCCTGAAAGAGGCCCGAAAATTAGCTTTCTTTCTCCTTTTTTTTTACTGAGATGAGCGAAATGGAAGGGGGAGGAGGGGTACGATATTAGCTGCTCTCCCAGGCATGTCGACAGAACGCTTCGTAAACACAGCCCCCCTGAACTCCCCCCCAGTCGTAATGGAAACTCGCAGACTTCAATTTAGGAATTCACCGTGAATTAATTAGGCTTCGATAACTCATTAAGCCCAACAGGAGCGGGCGGGTGCCATGATTTATGCTAGCAGGGATAGTTCATTAGTATTATCTGACGAAGTGTGTGTGGATTAAGGTGTGTGTGCGCGCGTGGCGCGTGGGAGTTAGAGGGGTCAGCACACGTGTGCGAATGCCAGTGTCCAGATCTGTCTCTTCAGAACTTTGGAGACTTTTATTGGATTCAGTTCTTGAATCCCAAGGAACTGCCTGACTGCCACAGTTCAGAGATCTTCACTGCCTTTACAGCCTCTTAAGATTCTTAATATAAGGAGATTTTATGACCCCATGCCATCAGAATAGTAAAAATAATCAACTTTATTCATATTGCACTTTTCCTAGGTTAAATGGAGTTCAACAGAAACTGCTTCGCAGATATAAAGCATAATATTACAAGGAGTTGGGTAAAAATGAACAATTGGGTCAGAGGTAAAAGAAAACTAGAACGTTCAGTAAACTGAAACAACTGTAGACAGAACCAATTAAGGGCCGGATTAGAGAACAAGAAATACGATTAGGACTTCATAAAGTATTTACAACACACACACAGCTTGCTTCCTGGACATTTATAGATACAGTCGTGTGCAAAAGTTTGGGCGCCCCAGGGCAAATGCTCCTCTATGGAACACACACTTATGCATATTTTCATGCACAATTACTGTTTCTTTGATGTATTTTTCAATTTGGGGGGGAAAAAACATAATGTGTGAACTTATTTTCCTTTAGAAAAATCAACAAAACAAAGCATTTGACTGGTTTGTTCAAACAACTGTCAGTAAACTCCAGTCAGTATGGACAGCATTGGCATAGATAGACAGACAGACAGACAGACAGATAGACACTTCATTGATCCCGAAGGAAATTTATCAGCCAGTAGCAGCCACACAACACAGGACAGCAATAAGGATATAAACAGTATAACAGGAAGAATAAATATAAAAAAAAATCCTGTATACAAATAGAAGAATACAACAATCTGGAATAATAAGCATTCATGGAATGGAATATTCATCATTGTCTATTATGGAACCTATGGGAAAGTTAGAAACATGTTGAAACATGTTGAAACATGTTGAATGTTGATAAAGCCCTGAAGTCAAGACTTTTAAGCAAAATGTAAGCTTACTAATACCATATGACCTGTTTCAAAAGAGGCCTGAATATATATATATATATATTTTCAGGCATCTTTTATATATATAGGAAGACTGGCTGATGTGAGTTCATTAAACCTTTTCATTATTATTTATCCTACTTTTCTCAAGCATTTCAAAGCTTCAAAACCTGCTGAACCGTGTGAGCTCAGTGAGCTGTTTATATGTTTTACTGCTCAGTATTAATATTAAAAAAGAACCAAAAGCAATATAAATATGTTTATAGAATCTATGGTTTATACAGATGCTAAAAAAAGCAAACAGTGTTATGAACAATATTAGAGTCCTTGTGCTCTGAGCCAACCTTTACTTGTTTATTTAATCCCTGTTCACTCTCTGTAATAATAATAATTTACTGCCGTGCAGTCGCAGGTGACTTTTCTGACAAATTAAGATACTATTAAGATTTTTGATCAGCAAAAATGTTTAGAAGGTGACTGATTCTGTATTTAAAGACACTTGATCACATTTGTTTCAGTATCTCTATACAAAGTTTCATTGTTATGAAACCTTTAATTATTATCAACTAAGTGTTAAATTGAGCTTCTTTGAACTAAAGGGGTTCTTCAACTCAAATGTCTGATTTCTTTAAAGAACCATCCATTGAAAAATTATTTGAGGAACCAAAATGTGGCTCTTCATCACTCCAAAGAAGCCTTTTTGGTATGTTTATTTTTAAAGGAGTCATTTTGGCTGCACATGTTGTATCATGTAGCAAGTTTATGCTGGCTCATCTCACTTCAGTCTTATTTTGTTGTTGAATTGTGAAGTAGACAAAACAACATTTTAGGAATCTTCCTATATAGGCTCAATCCCATTTCACCCCTTGCCCCTACCACTCAGTCCTTAGCCCTCTGTTTTGCGTGTTCACGTCTAGGGTGTCCTGATTTCTGTTGAGATAGAGGGGCAGGGTGAAGTGTTATGGCTAAGTGTTCCTTCAAACGGAGGTTTTTCAGAGGCCCACTCCAAACAGAGTGTTATGAGAAACAAAGAAAAACCAGAAGATGGCTGCATAAGCAACCAAAGAAACCAACAAAAAAAAGTATTTTCTCCATTAAAAAATTATGATAAACACTGTATTATCTGAGATTATTGTCGTTTTCTTTATAACAAGCATCAAAAATTGCTAGTAGTATGCTGATTTGTTGGTAGCTAGCTCGCTAAATTTCCTGTTCCACCTTAAATGGGGCAGCAGTTACATTCAGGCACCTCAGGCATCAGAACTGCTACTCCGTTTAAGGTGGAACGGACAAGAAGTTGGCGAATAGCTGACTTCAGCTTCTTATCACCGAAGAATTAGTGGTGGGTGATGGTAAATAATTGTTGCACCCCCCCCCACCTTGAACTCATTTCATGCCCATAATGTAACTAAAGCCCAGCAGTGAGGAGCTGACCTTTACCTTCCTCTGCTATCACTGCAGACTGGCAGAGCACCACTAGTAGCCTGTTAATGAAGTAAGGCTCTTCTTTATTTGAGGGTCCCATTTCGTAGGGGAACATTTCAACCACTACCCCTTGTAACTCAGTTCCAAAGGGGTAGGGTAAAAATAAGTAATGGGATTGGGCCATAGTCACATGAAAAAGTTTGAGCGCCCCTGGTCAAATTATGTTTTGTTGATTTTTATTTATTTATTTATTTTTTTGCTCATTTTAATACATAATTCCAAAGTTATGGCATATTTACTATTTTATGTTTTATTTTTCTTCAATACGTAAAACAAATAAATAGAAATTGTGGACTCAAATTAGCACAAAAGTGGCAAATTTATCTTTAACTTATTTTCGCTTTAAAAATCAACAAAACGTCATTGAGCTAAAGGGGTGCTCTGAGTGTTGCATACAACTGTAATTATGTATAAACACAAGCTCTAATCCAGAGTAGTTTAGGTTGGTGGTGTTGTAATGTTAGGAGTCTAGCCCAAGAACTTTCATTGGTAAAGCAGCTTTGATATATTAAGGCTTGAAATCTACTAAAAACAACGCAGATTTTCTCCCAAAATATGATAATATACCGTATAAAATGTTTCTCCCACCGTTACTTGTTAGTAAATAGCTGTTTTGTCTTTCTGAAAATCAAGCATTATGCAGAAAATATCCAAAGAAGGCTTAGGTGTTCTCAAACTTTTGATGGGCAGTATAACTGACCTCTCTGACTATTGTACACTGAGCTTTGGTCCAAAGCGGGCCTGTCCGTTTGCCCTGCTAGTGTGGACTGTAAATCTCCCTGACTGCGCTTTTTTCACCCCTTTTTTTTTAATGTGCTCATATTGGAGTCTGTATGTGCCCCGGGTCCGGCGTGGTGGCATTAATCCTCTGCGGAGCGGCCGAGGAGCAATAAAAGCTCCATCAGAAAAAGAGAGAGAAGATGAAAAAAAAAGTCCAAGCTGAGGAGTCCGTGCCAGACGAGGCGAATTAAACACTGCTGCAAGCGAGAGGTTGAGGAGCGCACACCGAAAAAAAGACTATTAAAGATGTAATAAAGAAAATCTTTAAATATGAATTAAGCTGGGCTTAGTGAGCCTCCTTCCCCTGCTGCTTTATTCTCACTTTCAGCCAGTCTTTTGAAGGCCTTGACTGTTTTCATCTGCTTGGGGTCATATCTCAGACAGAGGGAAAGTTAGGCAGCTCTAGAAATACCTGTCATCTTCCATTTCTTATATGTGCTTACTTTGTGTGGGCCATTGATTATTTCAGTAATCGAGGAATACTTTGATTAATTGAGTGATCAGAGTTTTAGGAAAAGGACAAATAATAAAAATAAGGATTTAACTGAACACTAACAAACCAATCATTGCCTTTCAGAGATTCTAAAATATAAAGACTTCAGAACTTAAAGACTTAAAAAAAAGTATATTGTTGCTGACAGGAAGATTGTTTCTCCTTTTTTTTTATGTATTAATTTTATTTTTTACATCTAAAAATATCAGCTTTTACATTGTGTAGACGTTTCATGGTGAGTGGACCAATACAAAAGTTTCAGAATAATGGTTGGAATAAAATCTGGTTATATTAACATTAAAGTGAATGTTTTCTCCAGTGAATTAACTATTTTGGAGACACAAAGTTTTGGTCCAACAGCAAAGATATATAA